ATCCACTATGATGCTTTTTCTTAAGGTTATTATATACTCGTAAATTATCCGGTTGAAAACATTTTAAATAATCGCGAGAGTAAGTAACACGTTTTGGACACATAATTCAATAATTAAAACAAAATAAATCCAAAAAATCAGATGCAATATAAGTGACGAAAATTTTGGTAGTCCGAAACTAAGTCCTCGAGGTCTCCACATTGGCTACTGAATAGTTGTAAGGTCACCTAGGGTAGTATTCTAAACACTTTCCGAAGCCTCATCTAATATCAAGTATTCATTGATTCAAGATGAAGCAAATTTAGGAAGAAACCTTTGAAATTCCATTGGAGATATAGTACAGTTGAACAAATTCACCGACCCATGAACTCCAACACATTATTACAATTTCTCAGGTGACACTGCTTTCTCATCATGCCATATTTCGTGCCCTCGCGGACAACTAATTTTTTCCGAGACCATTCACGCATATTTTATCTGCCGATAGAACCAATGGACATTTGGAGATTTCAAAGCAGTAATCCAACACATTTATACTACTGTTTATGAGACAATGGAGTTCCACAACCGTAGATTAATGAAACATCTAGTTTGGATGCGTTTTACATCGAGAGATAAAAAATCTGTTTTCTCCACGTTTCTCAACACAAAAAGCTATTTGAAAAATCAAGAAATAGGATCAAACTGAGGAGATCGTCGACAAGTAAATTCAAACAACGTGACGGAAAGGAAGCAGACTCCCCAAACTGTTAACTCGACAGCCATTCATCTACTTAGGTCACCCAGACGACTGTCATGACCAAACTGAGGAAGTGGTTATCACGATTTTATTAGGGTCACTCAAGACTCTCATGTATTGGGAGCCATTTCCCGCTTAGATAATGGCCGTTAGAAAGCTGTTTCGCTTAACGTTCTACCTTAGGAAGTTTAGGCAGTCTGGTATAAAGCAGTCTTTACTTTCTCAGTTTGTCAATTCCTGTATTCTACCCATCCCGCTTTACTGCTCCCCATTAATCTTCCCTGGACTACTTAAGAAAGACTTTGCTTCGCTGCATAGGGCACTAAAAGCTCTTAGTAGGGCAAGTGGGATTTCGTTAAACCAACTGGTTAACACCATAGTGGATAGACATATAACGTCATGTAAGAGACTAGCGAATTCTATATTGTCAGACCCCGAACACCCTCTCCACACGCAGCTCTCTCCTTGCATTTCATCTGGTAGAACTAGAAGCAACTATAGGAAGCTATATGCCAGGACTACCAAGTATAAAAACTCCACAATACCTTATCTGGCACAGCTGTTATGTGATGAGAAAACTGTTAGGCACGACACGATCACCTTACTGCGGCACTCTAACAAATAGTTCCCATTAGCTTTTGTTCTCCTTTCTTTGTTACTATTATATTGCTGCTCATATATTCTATTTACAGACCAATCTTATATATCATATCCTGTGGAGCATTGTTTAAATATGTGAATGCATTGCTGTTCTTTTTTTATTTCTTTTATTTCTCTTTTTCTTTTTGTTGTTGTTACTTTATATTTTTAAATCCTTATAAAATTTATGAGGTAATTAGATGCAATATTGTAATGAACGCTGAAAATTCCATACCTGTACCACAAATACTGTTTGGAATAAAGCCATTATTATTATATCATTATTTCAAAAGTTAGGAATGTTACAAGTACCCAGGGCCATACAGATTAAAACATAAAAGACGGTTTCTGCACACAATTGCAAAAAGTGATGGACAAGAACCCAAATGGTGACACTGAAGTCCTAATGGATAATATGCATGTTAAACTTGGAGCATATAACTCTGGAAGATAACTAATCAGTGGTTCGGAGGCTCTTGGCGAAATGAATGAGGGTGGCTGACAGTTTGCAATCATCTGTGCCTTCAATGATTTGGTGATTTGGAGGCAGCGAACACGAGCACAGGAACATTAACAGACCAGCCATTACAAACAAAAATCAGATGCATATCACCTCGATCTCAATGAAGATGAGACGTAGCTCAATGGATGTGAAACTGAGAAGAGGAGTGGATTTCTATTTTTATTTTTTACCTTTGATTATAGCTTGGTTGGACATCGTATTTTGGGTACAGGTATGGAATTTTCAGCATGTGATATCGGTAGCCCAAATTTTGCAGGCCGACCATAGATATCAGGTGTGCGCCAGCGAACCACATGCATGGTCGGCGAGAGTCATAACCGCTGTGCACCGACTCACAAGTGATCGTTCAGATCACAACCTACTGCAAGAACTTCAAATTTAAATCCAGAATTTGAAGGAAGAAACTAAGGACAAATTAGCGGAAGCCATCAGAGCAAAGTCGGAGACATTACGTAGAATTTCCGACGACCACTGGGTGTAAGTCAGTGGAACTCTCTGAAAGCAATGTTAAGTGAAATATGTACGGCATTTAGCGAAGAAAGAAGTGGAGAGACAGGGAGCAGCATTTGTGGACACGTTTAAATTAATGGAGAAGAGAGTGATGGTGAAAAGGACGAAACAACAAAGATGGACTACAGAAGCAGGAGCTGACCACAATGTAACACTTTCCGAATCAATATGTGATGAGTGCCAGTGAAGACATAAGGTGCGACTTTGTCAGACAAAAGACAAACTCAGAGTACACTCGAAATGACCTCCGATAAGACACCTCAGGACATTGTATCAGGTAAAGAAGTCGCTATCCATGAAGAAATCAAAACACGTCGCATCAATGAAGGAAACGTAATGACCAAAGAGAGGCAAAAGAAACACTTGATTAATCATTTCAAGACAGTCTTGAACTGAACGACACCTGCACCTAAACGAGAAATGCAACCAACAGCCACAAAACCGCTGGTGTACATCAATCCTTCAACGAAAGCAGTCGTCTTGAACGCCGTAAACCTACTGAAAACCCCTAAGGAAGCAGTGAAAACGGATCCAGAAACCTCAGGTGGTGTGTGACGGCACTACCTCGGAAAGTTTGGGAGAAATGAAAGGTAGAAGGCCCATGCTGTCAAACTACCAAGGGGCAACCTAGGACTTTGCATAACTTGGCTCGAAATCATGCCACTGTTCGCGCCAAGCAAAATATTAGACCGAGTTATCCCGGAGAGAACAAAACGCTCCAGATGCAAAACTCGGCCCAAAACAAGCTGAATTCAGGAAGAGCGAACCATGCGAGGATCATATCGCAGCGTCGAGCATCGTCAACGAACAGGGAGTAGAATGGTAGCCAAATTTCCACCTCAACCCAACTTACTCTGATTATGGCTTCGATGGACTCTATTTTGAAGACATTCGAAAATTGTTTCAACACCACAGAGCGTCTATAATCTTACTCGATCTCGCCTGACAACCATATGAAGTCGCATATCAAGTGATTCACAACGGAAAACACAGTGAGGACGGGGGTGAGACGAGGTTGGCTATTATCACCGATGACACTCCTGACTGTGATGCACTAGATCATGCAACGGACAGTGGGGAACGAGAAGAGGTATATAGTTTGGAATGGTGAAAATACTCTGGAGGATCTGGCCTTCGTGGATGTAGAACATGTAGAACAAACTCAAAGGTCCACAGGCGGAAACCAAAAATTTGGAAGAAGAAGAAGCAGTCTACGAAGATGATACTCTAACTGAATACAGAGTAAGGGGATTTGATGGAGACACCCAGTCTCTATCAACGAAAGAATATCCAACGAGGCCACTTCTTTTGCTAGTCAGGACACCATCGTTTCAACTCCGGACGTACCCAGTGAGGATTTCAAAGTCAGCGTAGTAGAAGCGAAGATCATTAAGGAAATCCACAGCATTCACCAAAAGGAACATGACTGTGATTTTCAGCACTAATAGCAAATCACTTTGCCAATAAGATATCATTCAGACAGGCGCCATGTCGCAAAATAAATTTCTAGAAGGCTAAAGGCTTCCTTCAGCAGCCACCTTTTGGGACTCGAAACTGAAGATCAAATGGCCAAGGTACTGTGCTAATGAACCAGCCAAGTACCCATTGGTCAATAAATTTTCCTAAGGAAAAGGAAATGGACTAGCTTTGCATGTCAGGTGGTAGAAGCGGAATGCGAATGGGGAACGACGAGCTGAAAGCTTTTTCCTTATTCGTCTCTACGAACAGAGAAAACCCACACATTAGTGAAACGATTTTCTCGTGGCAATTACAAAAATTTTCTGTTGTAACAGAATTATTCATATCTGGATTGTAATAACCCTGCCTCCTGAGCACTAAGATAGGGTTTACGTAGTTTTGAGTACAATGTCATCAGATCGTGAGTTATAGTCTCCCAGTGACAAAATCTACAATTGTTGCTCAGTTTTTCATTGCATAATACGTAACAATCTTCACAGTCAAGTTCATTCTCAAAAAGGATGGAGGCGTGTTAGGAGAGAGTTGTTTTGTATGCACTGCCGTTTCCTTATCTGATTTCGAATACGTATATTGTAGAATGAGGTCTTGAAAAATGGTTAGTAAGTACTGTTTTTTAGTCAGTTAGGATGAAGACGAGGCTGAAATTTGAAGCTTAATACTGAAATCTAGGCATGGCAGTCGCATCTTTCGTTAGTTCCTTCATGTCTTCATTTGTGGATGAGGTAGTGAGTACTGAATTTAAGAGGATTGATTACCGAAATTTTCGTTTCGTTTCGGTCAGAAATTCCAATAAGTGCCAGTTTACGTGGTGATGTTTCTTGGATGATTGTCAAGGCTGAAGTCACATATTACGCGTTGTCTTAATTATTCTTTCACTATCCGGCAATACCTTCTAATTTAGTCATACTCTAAAAATGTTTGTCTACCAGACGTGTAGGAATTTGCCTTGTGAACACTGCAGGGATGTTAAATGTATTACAATAAGGCAGTATAAAAGACTCCGAAGAGAGAGTAAATCACCACATTACTGACATTTTTACGGATTACCGTAATTTTTGGATAGAAATATTCCCGCCCAAGCTATTGAACATTTAATATTGTTTTTGTCTACGTATTTAGACGATCCGCTTCCGTTTGAGTTGATTCGAAATGAAGATGCTCACGACGAAGTATGTTAAGATATGTGAGTCGGAAGATGATTCGCCGATCGAAGTTCCACTAGAAGACGATGATACACTTCTTCTGTCCACATTAACTGCTCAATTTCCTGATTGCACAGGCCTCAAGTATAAATCCGGGGATACTGGGTGTTATCGTGGCGTCCGACTTGTCGATGATCGTTTGTACCCTCCAGCTGACGGACATTGGAACGGAAACACCTTTTGTTGTGTTTTTCCTAAATGTAAGCTTCACATTCTAGTTTTACTTTACGCAAACAAATGTATATTTGTTGCCGTAGTAAGTTGATGTCGAAATGACTCACTATGCTGATGCACTTAACATTTGGTAACGTAGTTGAAACTGGCAGATTTAGTTCCTTCTTGTTTTGCCTTCGGCAACAGTAAAGAACAGACACCAAAACCAAATGACTTTAAATGAACTGCCTGCGTACATTGTATTCCATGGAAGAGTGGGCATCCGAAGCCTAGATCAAGGTCAAGTGTATATCGTCTTTTATGAAACTGTCCTATCATTCTTGTACTTTGTAGTTTTTCGTAACTGAGTTGCAACCCACACTGCACCAAATAGGGTGATAAATTTTGCAAAGTGTAGGAGATATTCAGTTTTTTAGTTCATGTTGGACCGTGTTAGAGCTGAGCTCATTGGATGTTTTTGTACTTGGGAAATGCCATCCAAGTAAATCTACAGTTCCACCAGTTACTCAACGTTCAACTGTTTTTCAGCTGAGCAAACCAAACGAATATTTTGTTTTTGTGCTGAAGTTCAAGCAGCTTTCTAAGCACATTAGGTGTTCAAGCCATGTATATGTCACTCGCCAACATCAGACTAGTTGGTTTACGGCGTACCAACGTCGTTATATGTGGCAATGGTGAATCCCCTAGTATGGTTAGGTTGGTAGGTCTTAATTTTTGCTGCTACTTCGAGAATCACCTGATAGTAAGCAAGAGTTCAGGTTCAGGAATATATTTAGGGAGTTGAAGATGTAGAAGCCTACCCTGTAATCTCCAATCACATAACTATGTTGAAGCACTCATTTGCCTGGAGGTGGGGTATTGAGTACTCCGTAAGTTTCCGTCATGGAGTGTCTTTTAGCAAGTCAAGAGAGTAAAACCAGGCATGAAACAACCTTAAACATGGTCACTACTGCACGTAAAAATGAGGGAGATAGTACATTTACCACTAGTAAGGAGTAGATAGATACATGTTTGCTTATACGACTTAGGATTCTATTTACTCTATATATTTGTCTCTAAATCCAGGCATAACACATGCACAGCTGTCTTGTTAGATATGAACAGTGTAATAAGTGCAAGTAAATGTCTGTATGTGCGTCGGTGGCGCAGCGGTAGAGTGTTCGCCGACCATGCAGGTGGTCCGGAGTTAGATCCCTGGCCGACGCACTCCTTTACCTCGGTAAAGAGGGAAGGTTAGGCATGAGGCTTGAAACCCCATCCTCTAAAAATAATCACCACTGCTGCAAAAACTTCAAGCTCTATGTTCCACTGGGAACGTAAAGAAGTAAGAAAATGTCTGTATCATCTTCTACCGTCACAGCTTCAGACCTCAGATCCAGATTTCATCAAAAGGTTCTAAAAACTTCAGTTGACATTCTCTGTTATACACAATTACTACTTTCTCATAATGTTTCATTCCAGGTTCGAAAAGAAAGGCAGACGAAGATGCGTTGGAATCTAAGTTGAAGATGAAAAGATTCGATAAGAAGACTTGCACAGATTTAATAGTCTTGAATTTACCATGGAGGGCGGACGAAGACGCATTACGCGAGTACTTTAGTCAGTATGGTGACTTGGTAATGGTCCAGGTGAGTTCAGAATTGTATAGGTAATTTAAAGCCAAATCTGTACCACAACGGGAGTGGTATGAAAACGTCTAAAATACTATTGTTTTGCTTATCTGGTAATAAGTATTTTTACAGGTGCTTAACCTCGTAGTGTGTAATTCAACCAAACAACCACTTGTGTTCGTTTGTTAACTACTGTTTAAGTCCACTGAGTCTGGTGGTCGGTAGTTAGTTATCTCAGTACTTCGCTGGTGTCAATTTTTGGAAGTCCAACCACTGAGAATACGATAGAAGTCTCCGCAACATGAAGTTGGTTACATTTGCATGTATCCAGCCGTTAAATTCATACATAGTTTAGATACTTCACTTTCTCCATACTTCAAGTCGATATCGTTCTGTAGGTGTAGAACTTTGTACAAACATCCACACAGAATGTTTTCCGTCAACCTACATTTGTTTTGTTAGAAGCAGAAATGTGGATATGTGTGGTTCATTGGCTTGAGCGTTTGACATTCGGCCAATGGATCCCGAGCTAGAGTCCCACCCCGCCTGCTTCAGCCCTCATATAATACAAAGGTGGCTCATAGCCCACTACTGGGCAATTTAGTAATAACTGAGTAGCGAACGAAAAACATCACTACTAAGTACAATATCAACTTTGGTATAGTTAGCACGAGGAGTCGTTAGTATGGTTAATACACAGGAATAACTACTAAACTCTAAATATTTGCTTAGCTAGATGTTTAGTAGTGGCGCATCTTTCTTGGTGCCATATTGTACCAAGTTTTTCTGCGTTTAAATAAATAAAAAATAGCTAGATGTTGGATTTAGGTTGGAGCAGAAGCGAGTTATTTCTAGTTATAAGTTTATACTTATTTCCACCAAAATGTCTGGCGAACGTCACCATCCGCACCCAATATGGATTTTTGGAGTATTCTTTTGCACACAGAAAGCTGTGGAACCCATTCAAAGTCTCCATACGTTGAGCAAATTTGTTGGTATTACTGTATGATGCGACCAAATTCAAGTCAGCGGGGAAAAATGCAAATATTAAAAAATCTTAAAGTTCAGTATACGGTAGACGACTTAAAAAATAGTAATACAATTAGGATTAAGATGAGATTTAAACATCATCCTGAGAGTTGATTATGACCTGCGTCATTTATAAGTTTTTAAGAAATTATATCCGATGAGGGAATTAGGTCAGGTGTGAACACATGAAATAATAAAAGCCAGATCTCTGTGTACAGAAAAAGTTCGTTCAACCCCTCCAACTTTCTTGGTCTTAATCCCTCTATGCTAAAGTATGGTAATCCCCAATCATATTTTGGCTCTACCAATTTTTATTTTGTCTATTCAATTTGTATTCTCTTCCTTATTACGTCTATTGTTATCATTTTTACTCTCACTGAACTGTCCCCGGTATTATTTCACTTGTTCCACTTGTTATTCCAGAGCAATTCTTTTTTACAACGTTAAATTCTATGCTATCGGGTTTCACACAATATTACGTAGCGCTTTTATTTTATTCCATTTGTCTTCTAATGCTATAATTGCACACCTTTTTCAAGTTCTATTCTATATGACATTCATTATTTTACCAGTTGACATTAATTATTATTATTGTTCCCTTGGGTTCCTAGTGGAACATAGGGCTTCAACTGCACGCCTCCACTTGCTTCTGTCTTCTGCTGTACTTTTCACTTGCATCCATGTTAGTCCATACTGTTTCAATTCTTCTTCACACGATCCTCCTCCTTGGACGTCCCACTCGCCGCTTCCCTTTCGAATCCCACTCGAGGACCCGACGCGTGATGTCACCCAACGGCCTCCTCAGCGAGTGTCCAATCCATCTCCACTTTCTCCGGCATATTTGTTGGGCGATTGGTTTTTGTTTTGTTTGTTCCAATAGTTTCTTGTTGGTGATTCTTTCCGGCCATCTGATCTTCAGTATAGAACGAAGACAGTTGTTGATGAAGGTCTGCAACCTGTTGAAAATTATCTTTGTGACCCTCCAAGTTTCTGATCCGTATAGAACTGACTGACTTGACGTTTGTATTGAAAATCCGAATTTTGTTGTTGATGCTGAGTGACAGTGGAAGATTTCCAGATTGGTTTCAGGTTGATGAATGTGTTTCTCGCCTTACCGATTCTCGATTTGACATCTTCGTCCGTTCCTCCTGTAGTTGAGACAATGCTCCCTAGATAAGTGAAAGAAGTAACCTCTTTCAAATCCCTCCCGTTGATGGTGATTGGCACTGGATGTTGCTGCTGTTGTTTTTGTTGGTCGGTTATTTTCATAACCTCCGTCTTGTCTATGTTCACCTGGAGTCCTGTCTGCTGCTTCTTCGACCAGTTTGTCGGTTTTCGCTTGTAAGTCTTCGATTTTGTGTGACATCAAACATAAGTCATCCGCGAAATCCAGGTCTTCTAGGTTCTTCACGTCGGTCCAGGATATCCCTGTCTCCTCGCTTCCCACTGTCTGACGCATAATGCAGTCCATCACTATTAGGAATATCATTGGTGATAATGAGCACCCTTGTCTGACTCCTGTGTTTACTCCAAACGCCTCGCTGAGTTTTCCGTTCTGGATCACTTGACATGTGCCGTTGTCGTACAACTGTTGAATAAGGTTGATGAATATTTGGGTACGCCGTAGTACTTGAGTAGTTTCCAAATTACTTCACGGTCAACGCTGTTGAAGGCCTTCTCAAAGTCTATAAAGTTGAGGTAGACGTTTGATTGCCATTCCATGCTTTGTTCTGTGATGATGATGCGTAGAGTTGCAATTTGGTCAGAACATGATTTGCCTTTCCTGAATCCAGTTTGTTCTGGTTGGCGGAGTTCTGTATCCAGTGCGTCCTTGATTCTCTCCAGGATGATGCGACTCAGGATTTTACTTGGCGTCGACAGGAGCATGATTCCTCGCCAGTTCTTGCAGAGTCCTAAGTCGCCTTTTTTGGTAGTTTCACGAGGTAACCTTTCCTCCAGACTTTTTGCAATAATGGAGTCAGCATATCTGCTGTCGTTTCTGGGTCCGCTTTCAGTGCTTCCGGGGGTATTCCATCTGGTCCAGCTGCTTTTCCAGCTTTCAGAAGCTTGATTGCATTCAAGACTTCAGCTTTCGTTGGAGGATTGGTGTCAACTTGCAGTTGTGTACGTGCTGTTGTTGGTATTACTGGACGGGTTGTAGGTGATGGTCGATTCAAGAGTCCTTTGAAGTGGTCCGCCCATTGTTTGATCTGTCTTTCTTCCTTGGTAATTGGGTTCCCTTGGCTGTCTTTTATAGGTTTCACTTGTGTTGATCTCTTCCCGGATAGAGATTTGGTTATCTGATATAGTGTCCTCAGGTCCCTTTAGCCTGCTGCCTTCTCAGCTTCAATGGCCAGATTGTCGTAGAATTGTCTTTTGTCCTTCCTGGCACTCTTCTTCACTTCTTTGTGCAGTGCTGTGTAAGTTGAGCTCAGCGTCTCTTTCTCTTGTCCATCTTTGCATTAAATCACTTCTCTTTCACCATTCTCATCTCCCCTATTAGCTTCCAAGTGTCCGTTGAGAGCCATTCCTTGCCTTGTTTCTTCTCTCTTCCTAAAACCGTTGAACACGTTTCGTTGAAAATCACCTCCAGAGAGTTCCAATAGTCTTCCACGGATGATTCCTCAGTGGTGCCACGTAGTGTTTCCTGCTTTGCTCTGACAGTTGCAGTGAAAATGTCCTTTGTGATTGTGTCCTTCAGTTTTTGCGTGTTGAACTTGCATTGTGGCCTATCCCCAGCTATCCTGGAGGCTTTAGGCTTCCCCTTAAAAGTCTTTTGTACTAGATAGTGGTGTGAACCCACATCTGCTCCTCTCCTCGATCTTGTGTCCAGTAGGCTCCGTCTCCACTTCCTTGAGATTGAAATGAAGTCTATCTGGTTCTTGGTATGTCCACCTGGTGAAATCCATGTCGCCTTGTGTATATCCCTGTGTTTGAACACACTGCCACCAATCACCAAATCACTGAAGGCGTAGAAGTCTGAGAAGAGTTCACCATTGTCGTTCATTTCATCGAGGGCCTCGCGACCCATGGTGAGTTCTCTTCCTGTATTGTCTCCTCCCAGCTTCGTATTCATATCACCCATCAGGATTTTGATATCGCTCTTTGGGACGTTGTCTATTACTGTTTGTAGTTGACTGTAGAAATCCTCCTTCTTCTCATGTTCTGAGACGTTTGTAGGCGCGTAGCACTGAATGATTGTAACCTTTTTTCCTTTTGAGTTGAACCTGGCTGTCATTATCCTGGAGGAGATTGGTTCCCACTGCATGAGAGCTTTAGCCGCTGTTGGTGACATCATGATGGCTACTCCCTCGGTGTGCTCGTGATCGTCCTCTGGGTGACCGGAGTAGATTATTGTCTCTCCAGTTGGTAGTTGGCACCTTCCGCATCCGTTCCATCTGCTCTCACAGATTCCCAACACTCCTACTTTATATCTCCTCATTTCTGCGGCTACCTGAGCAGCCTTCCCTGCTTCGTACATTGTACGAACGTTCCACGTCCCCATCCTTATTTTTGCTAAATAACTAAATTGCTACTAAACTTCAACGCACAAACATATTAAAAATTCTAAAAATACAAACAATGACTTAATTTTTTCGCTGGAATCGGGGAAGTGAAATGACGCAGGCTGGTGAAAGCCTTCGGGAAGCCAGTCAGCCGATGTGCCTTCTTTCGATGAAAGCAAAAAAAAATAAGGATGGGGACTTGACATTAAACCATGATTAAAATCACAAATATTTTAATTGTGTTTCATACTATTATTATTTCATGTATTCACATCATTTATAAGTCTCAAACTTAAGTTATCTGATGAACCTCAATTGCAAACAACTCTCTTGAGTAGTCCAAGCCAATGATCAGTGTCCAAGTTGATTGGTGCCATGTTTCCATCATTTTTCAACCTAGTCATTTTACAGCTAACATTGTCTAGCGAGCTAGGTTGAGGTTTGAGATTCATCTTATTTGTCAAAGCCACTTCAATTAGTGGGAGAATACTTCACCGACACATACCACTGGACGCAAATATTTTGTTGGATGACTTATTCCATAGTTTAATTTCAAAGTTCTTATTTAGTGGCTTCCAATAAGCTGTTACACTTGCTGGGCATTCATCTTCATTCAATAAGTTATTCCTGTAGGACCTGTCGATCTAATGTGAATTAAGGAACAGGAAAATCAGTTGGTCCCTGCCAATGCCGAGCCTGTTCTTTTTAAAAATTCAATAGTGGGTGGGCGTCGAGATATGATAACATGCTTCTGAACTTTCCGTTTTCAAGGTTCTCTCAGGTGTTACCTAACAAGACTTACAGTCCTATAAATTTTTGACTAAGTGGGGTGTGTAACACCTTTGCGCGTCACACACTAACTGTCGGTGAGTTTTTTTGGTTTCAAACTCCACGTCACTTACATCGTTTTGCTCAGTAAATTGTCACGATGGACCTTAGGATTGAATGTAGTTCGTAACCTGGTACATGAGATTCGTGCATCGCCTACTTAAGTTATTACTTTTTCACTGTTGAGCCTATCAGGAGAGTTCTGAAAATTCAAACGTAGTGACAGCCAATCAAAAGGGCATTTTAAACTTATTACTTTGGGTAACTGTAATTAGCATTAGGTAAGTTTCGATTCGAAACTTACATTTCGCAGATGATATGTGTCTGGTGTCATACAAAGTCGAAGACTTGCAGGCGAAAACCAACAAACTGACTGAAGAGACTGACGGCGAAGACAGAACTCCAGGTGAACCGAGAGAAGACGGAGATGATGATAACCAACGAGCAGCAACAACAACCAGTACCAATCACTATCAACGTGAGATATTTGACAGAGTTCACCTCCTTCACTTATTTTGGAAGCGTTGTTTCAACCACAGGTATTAGGAACAGATAAAGATGTCAAATCAGAAACGGAAAGGCAAGATACGCCTTCAACCTGAAATCAGTTTGGGATTCCTGTGCATTCCGTAGCACAAACAACAAGATTCAAATTTTCAGCATCAAAATTAATTCAGTCAATCCTTGTTTGTGGGTCAGAAACTTGGCGCGTCACAAAAGAATTCCAAAGAAGTTACAGACTTTCACCAACAGCTGCCTTCGCTGACTCCACATACTAAAGATCAAATGGAAGAAAGAATTAGCAACAATAAACTGGCAACAACCCAACCATGAGCCGATTGCTAACCAATACGTAGAGGAAAATGGAGATGGATTGGGGATATGTTGAGGAGGGACCTTTGAATGAAATTGGGAGCAAGGCCATTACTGTAGTGGAATCCAAATAAAGAGCGACGAGTGGGTCGTCGATGCGAGGGTGACATGGAGGAGATTGTACGGTAAAGGGATGAAAATTCATGGGCAACCGTGGACCCAGTTGAATAGGACTGCAGAAAATAGAACAAAGTGGAAGAGTTGCTGAAGCCATTTATTCCACTTGGGGCCCAAGGAAATAATAATGATGATTCAATTTTGGACTTCTGGTTCGACCTATATTCCACATCATTAACTATATCCCTACATGGTCTACCGAGCTGTCCCAATCAGGATATTTATAGGATTTTAATTTCTGCTTCAGCTTCTGTACAAGCTTTTTGTATGCTCACACAACATAGCTTTCGGACGATTCCATAAAAATGTTTCAATCAGTCCAACATAATACGCATGCAGTATTTCTTACAACACCCATCTTTACTACATGGGGACAAGTTGATTTAATTTGCTTTGTCACTTGACATTTAACTACGATTATAATCACAAACATTTTAGTTTTAATTCCATTTCATATTATTATTATTTTATGCATTCACACCTATGTTTCACTTCCCTCACCGGATATAACTTCTTAAAAACCATATATATACGATTGTACAGCTTGATGATAAATTCGTTGAAAAGAATCTCTTCCCTGAATCATTTGTTTTGATTTTCTATATGTTACAAGTTGATTTGTCATAATAATAAATTGTTTACCTTTCACTTGCAGGTAAAGCGTGATCCAGTTACCCAACAAAGCAAAGGATACGGTTTTATTCGCTTCGCTGACTATACGGCACAAGTCATGTGTTTGGCTGAAAGGCATTCTATTGACAATCGACAATGTGATGTCCGCATTCCGATATCAAAAGTAAGGTCCTTTTACTTACTTTTCAAAAGTATTTGAAACTATAAAACCTATCTAAGATTGCATGTTGTTCAGGAGTTCGCTGCACTGGTAGGACATAAATCCATACACCTTGAGTGTAAGGTTGATTATGTAGTTCATACTAGTCGGCCAAAATCAATTTGCTTCTAGACTCATGGAAATTTAACTGAAGTTAGACCGATTGACCCTACTGAGTTAAATAATAATAAGTAGCTAGGCTATTGAAATGCATCCACTTGCATGTAATCACACTATAACGAGAGGGGTAAAACCTAGTTAGGTAGGAACAAATTAATCATCTAATCAAAATCACGTGAAGTCGAAATATCGCAACACCCTTGTTTGCCACATAGATAGTGGCAATAAGAAATAGGGTGAAAATGTATAAAGCAAGTTCTGAAGTCGAATAATTATGGATACGATTATGAGACGTCATCCAGTTATATATACTGTATCGCTGTTAAGTACACTTACTTAATTTGTGATTTGTGTCTACGTTGAAAATATTTGAATGGGAGCATCAGCTATTTCATATAGTTTTACTCCTAAAATCTCAATTTGGCCTTTGTGTGATATGTGTTTTGCTATACTTTGTGCGTTTATGAACTAGTTTTTGGTCAGGAAGTTCCAACTTCTAATAATACACGTCAGAGCATAGAATCCATGCAAGAAAAGAAACTGGTCTTGATTAAATAGTCTTCAGATATCGGGAGCAAGAAGTACTTGGAACTGATATTGTAAAGCGAATTCGTGCTTATGACGAAAGCTATGTGACAATGCTTGTGTTGGTAACTTAACAGATTATTGTGTATCCTTACATATAATTTCCGGTTCTAAGCTCATTTTTGCATAACTTGTATATTAGTGCGTCACTTCAAGTAACCACTTCAATGCAGTAAAGAAATAAGAAAGTGGCAGGAATACTGTTTGGAATAAAGCTGTTATTATTATTACTTTCGACAAATATGTGTGTATGATTAACAATTAATGGTGACGTAAAGGATGTAAAGCTAAATGGTTCACTATTACAGGTGTTATCATCAAGTGTGACCAACCAGATTTCTTGAGGTGTCGAACTAGAGGATAGTCACCCCCTGTACATATGTAACAAAGTTAAGAAAAAATGATAGTAAGGAGCATTCTTGAAGATATACTTCTCACCGTTAGTCTCCATAAGCTTTTACGTGGCTGCATGAGTTTTATTCGAGTGTTGTGATAAGTTGAATTTACTTTTTCAGAAAACCGTTCAGTGATACTGCCACAGCAGATGTTTATCGACCGAGCTTAATGTCACCCTCCAGTCAAGAAGTGTTTTATGTGCTTAAAAAAACTTGATTTAAAATATTTGATGAACTGGTAATATTATGCAAAATCAAGATACATTTCTGTGCTTATTTCATTTAGATGGAGGGTGATCGTCAAGAAGTTTCTCGGAAAGTTCACATCGGCAGGCTTACGGAAGAGATTAGTGCCGAAACTCTTCGTCAGCATTTCTCTCAATATGGACGGGTAATTCTTTATACACTTTGAATTATTGTCAAACGACATTTCACAAAATTCTTATCGTCCGATTGCGTAATACATCTTCACTTTCATCGACTAAATCATATATGTGCATACAACAGTATTGTAGTTCATACTTTCTGTATGTGTAACACCATACATTTGTTAAAATGTAAAACATCATATTCATTTGGTTGAAGTGTAAGAATATTAAACAGGATACCTTCCTTTAAAATGTGGCTCGAATAATTGCTAGTGTCTTATAAGAGCGTTGATATTCATTCAGGTGACTATTGTCCATAGTTAGGAGCTAGAGTTAAATTATGATGGATTTCCGTCTGAGTTCAGAATTATTGGTTAGAATTTATTTAGATGCATTTTTTCGGATGAGATCTTGGGCATACTTTACTCTAAGTACTTCACCCATTTTCTGTTTTCCGCCCAGATTCTCCTTAAACCAATTGGTAAGTTCCAGGTTCTCAACGTGCTTGTTCGTTTAGGGTCTGGTAGTTTAGCTTAGCTTATTTTAGTTTTTTGAGAATTGGCAGTATGCAATCACGTCAGGATTTTCGGTTCTACCGTTTCTAAGAAGGGATTTATCATTGGATGGGATGACTGAACTTATAGTTTACTCATTGGACTAGAGCTGTTTCAGAATAATAAGAATGGTTTTGGTGGAATGTTGTTTCACTATCCATCATACTTCAAGTGATGACATTTTAACTCTTTTTCATAAATGGATATTAGGTATCTGATGTCTTCATACCCAAACCGTTTCGATCATTCGCTTTTGTCACATTCGACGATCCCGAAGTCGCATCCTCTTTGTTGGGCAAGGATCAAGATATTGAAGGTGTTCGGGTCACCGTTGGTTCTGCGGTTCCGAAACTCCCTCCAAACGCACGCTTAAACACAAATAATCAACGGATCCCAGTCAGTCCAATGCAAGCTGCATTTCAATCTACAATGATGGGAACTAGTCAGTGGGGTGGTATGTATTGTTTCCCTTTCCCAAGTTTAATTGATTAGCTTATACTTTAGAATTGTGTCATAGAAATATTTCATTATGATAAATGGACTTACTTTATATTTGTACAGAATTGTAAGAAATGAATTAATGGAGGTAGATTGAATGTATAACTCATCTGACAAAAAGCCATTTCATCAAAAGTCTGAATTTCCCACAGAGATGTTGATCGTGGTGTGACGGTTCCGGAAAATCCTCAAGAACCCTACACTGACTGATGTTGTTACCAAACTTATCTGGTTGGAAACAGAGGCACTCATTCGGTTATATTCAGAATTATTTGTGGTGCTGAAACCTAAATTAAACATGATAGTGAACCCGTAAATTATACCTGCATATATCGCAATCCATAGAAAGCAGTTATACTTGGCTTCTGTCAATGGCTGTTTCCAGAAAGCATCTGTTTTTTAAGTATATTGAACAGTTTAAAGTTATTCTGTATCCACTGGCAATACTGTCCGAAACACGGATCAGATGAAAACGTTCAATGCATAGTCATTTTGAATCAAAATACCAGTGCATAAAATTGCTACTCACTTTATTTGCATAAAGAATTGAGTAATATGCTCCCGAAAAAAACTACATTTGTTTATATATGTGTAAAACTTGCGCACTGTGGTAGTAAGTAATTCCATATTAGTTTGTTTATTAGATATATCACACAGTGAAACAGGATTATTTACTGGATGACGTTTCGAACAAAATTTATTGTTCATAATCATATCATCCAGTAAATAATACTGTTTCACTGTGTTATATTTAATAAACAAACTAATATGGAATTACATGTGTTTAATCAGGAGATAACTTTTCTTTTTAGCTTGGCCCCCGGCATATAGCGGAATGATGACCAATACCAATAACCGATATGGAGGACAAACTCCAGGAAAAGGTGGGAACCGTTCAAGTAATGGCTCCGTAGGTGGGTTAAATCCAGCAGCAGCTGCTGCCGCTGCCGTTTTAGCAGCAGAATACACTCGTGTTCATGTGAGTAATTTTGATATTTATTTATATTTATTTTTATGCTTCTATTACCACGGTCATGCCCTTAAAACCGGACTGACTAGTAGACATGTGGGTCTACCTGCGTGGACTAAAAAACCCTGGTTGCATATGGACCCCAGAATCTAAAGGGACCGGATGGTGTATGAATCTATTCTGGTCATCATCAACCGTGGAAACGCTGCTCCCCGACTTTGTGGGTCAGACTTCAAGTCAGAAGCTAAGAGAGTATTCCCTTGAGACCACGTTGGCGTCCGGGTAGTACTTCATCCTTCGCACAAAGTACAAAACAATGGATGAGGAACTATGTCCTCGTGATCACTATCCCATGCTACTTCTCCAGTCGCATTATCTCTTTTCGAATAAATCTTCAGCAACTGTGTAGTTGTACTTATATTTACCAAAACATACAGTAGTCTATTGCGGAATAATAGGGAGTGGCAATCGCCCTAACTGACATAATAACCCAGAATCGGTTAATAAAATAGAAAATTTTGGAGAGTTGCGTAATAGTCAATGACGCAGAAGAAAAGGTTTGAAATCTGATAAGGTTAAAATTGTTATTGAATGAGCAGTATCGTAATCGAGTGTTTATTTAAAAAGTGTGAAGAGGGCGAGAAAATGTAAAAAATGAACATGTGAGTGATAATAATGAATTAATTAATAGAAATAAAAGTGAACGATTAGGGAAGACATTTATACCTTTGTGGAATGTGTGCTTCGGTGAATACAGGTACGACTGTACAGCCTCTAAAGATTTTGTCGATTGAGAAAATTTTATTCACTGAATTGTGTTTTATTTTCCTTATGACCCTGGGTACTTTCGTTCTGTCCGATTTTATAATGTTTTTACCACCTTTTACTACTTCTCGTGACTTCTGTCATTATGCTCTCCCTACTGTTTGGGATATCAGCCTATTTGTATCGTTCCTGTATGCTAGCTTCTTCCAGAATGCTCACCTCCAGTAGGATACCTAGATTGACTATCCTGAAACCGTATGTTATTTTCGGACTTTCCATCCACAATTTTCGCATACTGATGCAGAAAGGTCTTGCCAGAAGCTTGGAAATCCTCCCCATCGATTTCTACTGCAATTCAGGGACATGCATTCAAGATCCCAGTGTAGTGTTGTCTGAAGTGCTCTATCTGCAAGTTCAAATGTTGGTATCACCTGCGTTTATCCATCAACCCTGTAGTAATTGTGATTAATGATGTATCTAACCGCGTAGGGAAAGTGAGAGCGACCTTTTTCAACTCGGTGTCCATAATGTCTCCCAAGTTTGTTATAATAATTCCGATGGCTTTTAGTTCTAACAGCATACTTATTGCCCAGTATCTGAGATCATCAGTACCTAAGTGAATTTAGTGTGTCCTGCAGTTAATACAATACGTATATGGATTAGAGTAGTTAGTTGAATAGATAGTCTTGATATGATTCTGACGTTGGGTAGAAATAAGAGTGGTACGACTTGGCTTAGGCTTCTCAGTGCTTTTTGACATAGCTCAAAGTTTTTTTACAGTGGTATGAGCGAGCGTATTCACTCCTCATTACGTAAAAACGTTTACTTAATTGTTTCCCATAACCGCCATCTAATGCAATCTTAATAGTTTTTCTGCTTTTGTGATTACTATTTAGATTGCATGGAGGATTTCATCATGAGCTGACATCAGTTAGAGAACCACTGGAAAACCTGGGAGTACTGGACAGTACCCACTGGGTTTCGTACCCGGGACCTTCTGGTTACAAGACGAGCTCGTAGACCATTGAGCCACTGGGACCCGATTCAATGGTCCTTGAATTCTAACGTCTGCCAATTCACGACATAGCGCGACCATTTCGCAATGTCTTCTTCGATGAGTTACTGCCTCATCTTCAACCTGCTGTACCCTACTGGCCTCTAACTGATGTCAGCTCATGATGAAATCCTCCATGCAATCAAACCAAATCCGTACAAATCCAATACTTGAAAATTACTACTTAGAACGGTGTACCTTCGTACAGTCTTAGGTTAAGTTACCGCTACGTGTGATCTTTAGTTTTATGTGGAATCATTCACTTTTTCATTCCTAATTTCTTTGTAGAACCGAAATTCCAGCACACCTATCAGCGGACAGCAGGAATACAATGGTCTGCCAGTGGATTCCACAAACAATGCCGCATTAGCCACAATGAATATATTGAGTAATCCAAATGTCGTGGCTGCCATTGTTAGTGCTGCTACTGGAGCGGGAAATACTTCGATGCTAGGTAGTTCTAGCGTAAGTGCATTCACAGCTTCTTATAAGGTTATAGTAAAATTGCCTACTTGTGCTTGAGTATCGCGCTACATGATTATTGTGTATTATCTTATGCTATTAATGTTTTCAGTACCGTTATGTGACCCATAAATGACCTTAATCATCCTAAAACAAATTATGTCGGAGTTTAATCACACACACACACACACTTATTTTAATAAGGCTTAAAACATGTCTATTAGTGCTGTTTTAAACATTCAAATAGACATAATTTGTATCATTTTTGATCATGCAGTTATTTCCCATTCATCCATGACTAATTAACTATTCTTTTAAATGGTTTTCTTACGAAAGCCTTATTTATATTGGGGTTGTGAAAATCAGTTAGCGGTACAGTTGTAATAGCTTAGGTCTAATCTCTGTGACTCGAATGCAGTTGAAAAGAAAATGGTAAGTTCCTGAAACATTTTGTTTTGTACAAATATTTTCATGTCGCAAGCTGAAACCGTGTGATTAAAGACACATGTTTCTCATACTGTCGTAGTAAAATTTACATGATGCTAGGTGTCCCATCCAATTATGGATCACAATTGAGAAGTTCACAGTTTGTCATCATGCCGACCTCCATGTTTAAATTGCTTTGCATACTTGTTAACCTGTAATTCTTAATACTTCACTTTTATGTTCTTGTTATTATTTTTTCTCTTTTTTCAGGTAGTTTGAAACTAGAGATGGGTTTGAGTTGTTGAATACTTAATTGCTGCATTTTCGTTTACTCTAATATCTACTTTCACCGTGGAAAGCTACTCGAATTTTATCAACTCTGTTCATTTGTTTGTAAAAGATTTGGCATTATTAAACCAACTCATTTATTTGTTTGAATTGATTGTGTTGTGTTAAGATGAGTGGTTTAAGCGTGCTTTTATTGTGAGACTGGTACTGTTGGGTTGAGGATTTTGATTATGTGTTGATATTGTGCGAAAATATTTGTGTCCTGCGTGATAATAGGAGTTTTGCGTACGCGTTCGTGTGTGGTCGAATTCTGTATGGTTAGATTGCTTGGGTTGGATATTTTGTACATCGAAATTGCGTGTCGAATGATTTAGATGCAAGACAGTCGTTTCGCCACACTTCCTAAGGGAGTTGTCTTAGCACAACGAGGTTACATGTTTACTTCGGCATTTTCCTAACTTCATGCAGTAGTACTTTGGAAAGTACTAAGCCACTCTTTGAGGGAACTACAGTTAGGATATGCCTATAGTTGGATTCAGAATAACAGAAAATGAGTATGAAATTTTCACGTAACGTCTTCTGTAAGCTATGTGGTGTGCTGATATCATCAGGGGATCATATTGTCTCACTACCAACCTGAACACTGATTTGTTTGATTTGTCCTTGACAGTGTGATGAACAATTAAATAAATTTGTTGGAGGTTTTGAATTTGCGTTCATCTGAAGTATTTGTTTGCGCTGTACACTTGAAAATTTGAATTCTAGGTGTTCAGTTAACGCATGATTGTTTAATATAACCGTTTGCTTCTAATCTACAACATTTTTGGATTGATACCTGTTATTTGAACGTGGATGCGTATGAGGCTGTTTGCTGTTCGGTGGCTGTAATCAGTACGATGTTCTTTTTCTTGCTCTCATCTTATCTTCCTTGCTCGGTTAAAAATTCTTCACGATTTGTTCACACTAACTTTACACACTTCAGCTCCTATTGTTCGTGTAGTCATTACAGTTGTTATTCATAATGTTCTTACATTGTTATTGATATTCCATATACTAATCCACACATGCCATCTCTAAATGAATGCATTTCCATACGGGTTTCAAGATGTTATTATAATACATACAGAGGCAATTCTATTTGTTGAATGAGAACTCAGTGTCGCTACAGTAGAACCGGTGACGTGCTGTCACTCATAGCTTATTTTTAAACATCTGTTTGTGAATTTTTATGTGATTTCCCGCTAACCAGCATAATTCTTTATTATGTTTAATAACCTTAGTCTTTTAACAAATTACTATTTACACAATAAATGGAAATTTCACCATATTCTTATAAAGTGGTTTAACATGAAATAATGCGAAACTCGTCACTTAATAACGGTAGTTTGCAACATTTAAGGACTTAGCATAGTAGACGTATGTGAAATGTATGTTCACCAAGTTTACTTTCGAACACGTCTGCGGATAATAATGCACCCCTCAAGGAATCTCACTGAGTTGCTTGCTGTATTAATTTTCTTTCGCTGCATATAACGTTTCACGGCTGCTTATCAGTCTTAGTTTCAGATTTTAGACTTTTAAAGTAGAGGTTCCTAGAATACGCGTGACTTGGAATTTACTTCTTTAGGCTTTTCATAACGTAAGTATATAATTTTGAAACGCATGATGGATGTATGAATTACTCCTGTTTGACTAAAAAGCATTTCCACTCAAAATAATTTAATTAGAGGAAACGAAGTGAATTCTTTCCTGATAATGCATAAGTCTCAAAATCACTAGTTGTAATTAACGTCGGAGATGGAGTGTTGTCTTTGTGCGTCGTGAGATTATTTAAATTAGACAGGTGTGGTGACTCGAACCGCCGCACATCAGTGCAAAGTTCTGTGTTGGGACCAGTCAGTCAGACGGTGAATATAAGTTGACCAGTTTGCTCTCATCACATGTTTTCTTTCGGGCGCACGATATATTGTTGTTGTTCGTGTACTGCGATTAATTATCATTCACTCTCTTGGCTAGAGGAAATGTGTTCAGTACACTTAGTGCAGTGATACCAGGGGATATGGAACAGAATTGTCCTACAATATAGAGAAAAGAGTAAAATAATTACGGGATTAAAGAATGAAACTGATCAAGTACATGTAAAAGATTACTAGTCGTTTCATGTTATTTCCTTAATTTGGATTTGTAGCTCATCCCAAAATTTTAAATATCCAATAGTTGAAGTCTACGTGCGTTATTACTTCCTTTTGTCATCGGTGTTCAGGTGGCATTCTTTCAACATCCCTGTGCATCTATCATTTCCATGCGGCTAGAGAGCAATCCTTTTTAGGTGGTTTTGGACGCTAATAAAGTGACTAACAGAGTTTGTTTTAATAGTGTGAAATCCAATGGATTTTTGTCTTTTATGTTCACAGTCGTTCCTTAACATTGAAGAGAGAGAAAAGAAAATCAGCAGGAATATCTTTCCGGTGATTTCATCCTCGAAAACTATACTGTAACAGTAGAAGGCAAGACACTTGGTGATGCAGTGTTTATCTGGAATTTGATATCTCTATCTGGGGGAATATTGTACACCTTACATTGAAAATCATCATTTGCACAGATCTTCTGTGTTGTGCTGCTTCTGCCCTTCTTATTGTGATACTTTGTCTTCTTCACGTGTCTTTCGTGTTTCGCCGCAACGCTGGTTCATTCGCTCTTTTTAACGTCAACTCTCACTCCGCTGTTTGAAGTCTTTGTGCTGATAGATGTCTCTTTATATACTACTGATAAATTCTCTCGGTAGGAAACGCCACAATACAACGCAATTTTATGTATTTGTTCGCGAAGCATAAAACTGCAATTGTTCAGTTTCTGCGAAGGAAATTGCCGAAAAGTTATTTTTTGCTGAACTTCTTGGTTAACAGTCGAACACAGAAACAAGTTCCCCGAAATTAAGGTGATCAGTGGTCACTATCTGTGATGAGTTTTTTGAAATACCTCTCTAACAATTATTCAGAAATAATGAAATGAAGGCCTTAAGTGTATTGCTGAAATGTTTTTATTTAAATGTTGATGCACCTACAATTTACTCTTCGTAAAAAACCACTCTGAAATTACTTGCGTTATAATGAATTTAAGAATGAAATTAAGTTAAGAATCATGCGGTGCACTCACTCCAGAATCCTACTTGCCACTTGCCACGACTAGTCATTGTGCAATTCGTTGTAATGACCAGCAATCGTAACTTTAAAATCTATTCAGGTACTCGAAACAAATTGAGCTGGAAGTCATCAAGGTTTTGCTTTGCACCCAACCCTACTAAATTTTGTATAGTATTATAGCAGCGGAAGGCAAGACACGGAAGCTAAGGTATATTTTTCATTGATCAAACGTATATATATATATATAGTTTTTCTTTGACCAATCACAGCGTGTGATTTGGGTTTATATAAAACGGCGTGAAATAGAATGTCCTAATATACATAGTATTCTGTTGCTAATGCAGTATTGAACTGTGGGAATATTTGAGAATAATATTTCGTTGGAACACATTTTCTGTATCATACCACCACATTATTACCTCCCTGAAGCTCAAGGCTAGTGGCGTTTTACAATCCTCAACTTTTGATAAGTTAGAGGTATTCTATGTTCTATTGCGGTGAGAGCTGGGTGCTAATCAGCGTTGGTAAACAGTAAATGACGTCAATGTTTATGTCCCCAATATTGGTGGTGAGAAAATGAGAACAACGGCTTTGCGTAGGTGGATACAGTTAGCTTATGGATGATCTGACACAGCCACAAAGAAATGCAAGGTTAACTTTCTATGAGAAACAACCAATCAAAAGACTGTATTTTCTGCTAACAATAATGTACATTAAAATCTATATACATGTGTTGATTTTCCTTAATAAACGATCTGTTGCCTGGCCCTTGTCTTCTGTCGTTACACTATGATACATTTGCAGCGGTTAGAACTAATTTTACTGAGAAGGTCAAGGTTGGCCGGTGGGTACCAGTTAAATTCAGGCTGGCAGTCACTCCGAATTATTCCATGGAGCCTGTAGAGCGATATAAACTGAGAAAGTCTGTTCAGAAATTATGAAGCAATAAAACTCTCACGCGAATAAATAATGGAATTTAGGCGTATCTTATTCACAATACGAATCAGAAAAAGTGGTTGAACAATCGTTGGCGAGACCAATCAAAATAGCCTAGGCTTAGTCGACTTGTATTGATTGAAGCTTATCACAAAAGAACCCGAATTACTCTAAAGAATATCAGAACATAGTAATGACTCACTAGTAACGAGGTTGTAATACTAGCAAGTCGAGATGGTCTAATTTAACAAACATCTAATGATAACTACAAAGCCATGCCTTAAACTGCTTAAAGCATTAATTTGGACATGCTGGTGAGGCATGGTTCTACTGAATTTCTACCACTGACTTTAAGCCCAGTTCACCGAGAGTCCTGCAATGATGAGCATGTGAAACTTGATTTGATTGAGATATCTCAAAAATTATGAGATTCACGATCTTCAAAACATCTTGGATTAATTCAGTAAGTTCGGATATAAGTAGGAGCTGTAAGTTATATTCAAGATTTAAATTACGAACCATTTATTAGATGATCAAACAAAACCCAGTTATATCTGAAGCCTCACTAGAAATTACACATCTGAACAAAAGATATTCCATTGATCCACCAAGTTAAAACTATGCAATTATTCGCTTGATAAATAGTTGATCTGATAGTGATACCTTTTAAGCGATACGATGAATTCATTTCCATCAGCACTCATATTCATTTAACACTTTTGCCATGTCTTCTTTCCTTCAGTACAATCTTAACAGACGCGTAAACGAGATTGATTTGCGGTACGTACATTCTCTGTTCTGGATGACGTGAGTAGATTATTGACTCTCCAGTTTACAATTTGAACAGTCTACCACTTTCCATCCACTCTTACATTATCGTAATACTACCATACCATATCTTCTCATATCTAGTTAAATCTTGACAGCCACGTCAACGAGATTGACTTACGGTACGTACATTCTCTGTTCTTATGCTTACTTTTGCTTTCATCATCATCATCATCATTATCGGTGAACTAACTGGCTTCCACATGCAACCTGACCTCTCATTTGTCTCATGTGAATAACTGAGTAAAGTGTCGGCTTCACTTAATTGTTTTCACTGTCCGAATTGCCTCAATCACCTACCATCCAACCATCATTATCTTGATAGCGATTAGATTTCAGAGTTGAAAATGTAGCTACGAGGAAGTATTTCCTGTCTTATACTGTGTATTTACTTATTTATTTATTTATTCAGTTCAATTAAGTAGGTGACTGTGTAATTTCTTGTCAAGTCATTTGAGCAGGAATCTGAGTGTACGACAGATGACTGGTGTAATTACCCATCACGGTCTTTACAATCACACCAGTTTTTTCCACCTAGTTTGATAATTCGTGATGAAATCGTCAGTTGGTGGAGAGCGTTCCACGTTGGCCAACCCGTCTATCTATCTGTCTGTCTATCTAAGAGTCTGTCTATTTATTGATTCCTCAAATGCAAACAAATAATTCGATAGACTGAATGTCGTGGGTCGGAATCCTGTCGGTGAGTGCGTACCACCACAGAGTTCGAAACTAGGACGAGACAGCTGTCCAGTACCGAGATGTTTTCCAATGCTTCTGTAACCGACGTCAGCTGATGATGAAATCTTGTAACATGAGATGTGTTGGTTAAGGTATTCGAATTCATGGGAAGAAGTGAATGTGAATTCTATCTCATTGATAATACTTCGTCTTTGAACAGCCTAGCAACATGCCTTATGTTACGAGTGAACAAATAACCATGTGAATGGGATTATTACTATTATTATTCCCTTGGGCTCCCACTGGGACGAAAGACTTCAGCAGGAGTTTCACTCCGTACTCTGCAATCTTACTTAGCTGCCTTTATGTTTGCCCATAAACTTTCTTCTCCCCAGGAATTTGCCTTATCGTTTCCTACTCGAGTTCCACTGGAGTGCCTGGCTGAATGATTACGTTTTAACATAGAACCCTACACAAAAGTGAGGCAATTCAAGTTGTCACACTCCATGCAAGACAAAAGAGAAAATATGAGGTTAAAAATAAGGAGAAATGTAAGGGTGGGTGATCAACCTCTCGCCAATAGAATTAAGATCTAGTGATATGCAACTACTTGAAAAAGAATTAAAATTCATTGTTACCGTTAGTGAAGCAAGACCAGAGAATGTAATCTAGAACAAGGAGGTTCGAGCACAATATTGAAAAATCTCTAACAAAACAAACAAAAGAAGGAACAGTGAAACTGTTAT